GTGATAGTAGTAGTAATAGGAGTCGTAAGAGTGTCAGTAGGGGGTAGTAGTTGTAGCACGAGTGATAGTAACAGTTAATGTAGCGCAAGTAGAAAAATAGTAGCAGCAGTAGTGCCAGTAGTCGTAGTGGAATAGTAAGACTAGTAGTAGTAGTAGTAGTAGTAGTAGTAGTAGTAGTAATAGTAGTAGTAGTAGTAGTAGTAGTAGTAGTAGTAGTAGTAGTAGTAGTGATAGAAGTAGTAGTGAATAGTGAAAGCAGTAACAGTAGTAGTACCAGCAGTAGTAGCAGTAGTACCAGTAGTAGTCGCAAGCGTAGAAGTAGTAGAAGTAGTAGTAGTAGTAGTAGTAGTAGTCGTAGTCGTAGTAGTAGCCGTAGTAGTAGTAGTAGTAGTAGTAGTAGTAGTAGTGATATTAGTGGTAGTAGTAGTAGTAGTAGTAGTAGTAGTACTAGCAGTCGTAGTAGCAGTAGTGGTAGTAGTAGTAGTAGTAGTAGTAGTAGTAGTAGTAGTAGTAGTACCTCTATTAGGAATCGTCGTCGTAGCCGTGGTGGTGAACATAGGTAGTCTAGAATAGTAGTAGAGAAAAGTAGTAGTGATACGAATGAGAATGGTATTAGAGAAGGCGTAGAAGTAGCAGTAGAAGCAGTAATCGAAATACATATAGCATCAGCGACAGTAATAGCAGTGGTAGTAATAGAATTTGCAGTGTGGCGTTATTAAGACAATCGTAGAGATGTCGTAAAAATAAACGTCATCGTAGTCGTAGTTGTAGTAGTAGCAAAAGTAATAGGAATACTCGTTCGAGTGGTCGGCATAGTGGGTAGCACTAGACGAGGCCGTGGTAGTGGGAGCATTCCTAGCAGTAGTGGCAGTGGTATTGGTTGTGGAAGTGGCAGTCGTAGTAGTAGTAGTAGTAGTCGTAGCAGTAGTAGTAGTAGTAGTAGTAGTCGTAGTAGTAGTAGTAGTAGTAGTAGTACTCGTAGTAGTAGTAGTAGTAGTAGTAGTAGTATCAGTAGTACTACTAGTAGTACGAATAGTACTACTAGTGAAAGTAGTAGCGTTAATACTAATAATACTCGTGATATTAGTAGAAGTAGTAGTAGTCGTATAGATAGTACTAGTAGTAGTAATAGTAGTAGTAGGAGTCGTAAACATAGTAGTAGTAGTAGTAGTAGTAGTAATTGTTGTTGTTGTTGGCGTGGCACTCCCGTGGGCCACTCTCTTGGCCCATTTAGATGGCGACTACCTTGTCTTCGTTATCGTCCTCCTCTTCGTAACGGATTAGGCATTGATTCCTTTTATGGCGGAGTGCTGATTTTTTTGTGGCGGGTAACACAGGGAATCCTTTTGTGGCGAACTATAAATTTATTCCTTTTGTTGCGGATTACACATTGATTCCTTGGTGCCGGATTACATCTTGAATCCTTTTGTGGCGGATTGCAAAAGGAGTCCTTCTGTGGCGGATTACAAATGGAATCCTTTTGTAGAGGATTACAAATTGATTCCTTTGTGGCGGATTACAAAGGGAATCCTTTTGTGGCGAATTACAAAGGGAATCGTTTGGTGGCGGATTGCTAATTGATTCCTTTTGTGTCGGATTGCACAGGGGATCTTTTTATGGCGAATTACAAAGGGAATCCTTTTGTGGCGGATTACAAATTGATTCCTTTTGTGGCGAATTACAAAGGAAATCTTTGTGTGGCGGATTACAAAGGGAATCCTTTTGTGGCGGATTATAATGTGATTCCTTTTGTGGCGGATTACAAAGGGAACCTTTTCGTGGCGGATTACAGAGGGAATCCTTTTGTGGAGAATTACACAGGGAATCCTTTTGTGGCGGATTAAAAATTGATTCCTTTTGTGGCGGTTACAAAGGGAACCCTTTTGTGGCGAATTACAAAGGGAATCCTTTTGTAGGGATCTTGAGCGGTCTGGACTTGTGTGGGGTTCCAAGGATTTTTTTTGTTATTAAAAATTTGTGAAATAAGAGAACCTGGTTTCGCCTGAAACTGCTTTAAATTTTTATAAGTCCATTGAGATTGGCTGCTGTAAAATCCGAATGGAGTCTCAAGCGAAACTGTGTTTTTCTGTGCGGAATCCATCTAAAAAATTGAAAAAGCAGGTTTCGCTCGAGACCCCCTCCGAATTTTACAGCAGCCAAACTCAATGGAATTATAAAATTCTGATCGAGTCTCAAGCGAAACCTGGTTTTCTTATTTCAATTTTTAATATAAATCCTGGGAACCTCACACAGGTCCATACCGCTCAAGATCCCCACGAAAAGATTCCCTTTGTAATTCGCCACAAAAGGGTTCCCTTTGTAACCCCCACAAAAGGAATCAATGTGTAATCCGCCACAAAAGGATTCCCTTTGTAAGTCTCCACAAAAAGGATTCCCTCAGTAATCCGCCACAAAAGGAATCAATAGGTAATCCTCTAGAAAAGGATTACATTTGTAATCCGGCACAGAAGGAATCAATTTGCAAATCCGCCACAAAGGAATCAATTTGTAGCGACTTACAAATTGATTCATTTTGTGGCGGATTACAAAGGGAACCCTTTTGAGGCGAATTACAGAGGGAATCCTTTTGTGGGGATCTAGCGGTCTGGACATGTGTGAGGTTCCCAGGATGTATATTTTGTAAATTTTTATAAATTTTGCATTTTTCTTTGAAATAAGAAAACCACGTGTCGCCTGAGACCCCCTTAAAATTTTTATAAATCCATTGAGCTTGGCTGCTGTAAAATTCGAAGGGTGTCTCAAGCGGAACAGTGTTTTTCTGTGTGGAATCAAAGTAAAATCAATAAAACAAAAGCAGGTTTCGCTTGAGACCCCCCCCGGATTTTACAGCTGCCAAGCTAAATGGATTTATAAAATTCTGATGGAATCTCAAGCGAAACCTGGCTTTCTTGTTTCAAATAATTCGAAAAATTTTATAAAATTAGAAAAAATGTAAATCTTGGGAACCTCACACAGGTCCAGACCGCTCAAAATCCCCACAAAAGGATTCCCTTTGTAATTCGCCACAAAAGGGTTCCCTTTGTAATCCGCCATAAAAGGAATCAACTTGTAATCCGCCACAAAAGGATTCCCTTTGTAATTCGCCACAAAAGGATTCCCTCTGTAATCCGCCACAAAAGGAATCAATATGTAATCCTCTACACGAGGATTTCATTTGTAATCCGCCACATAAGGAATCAATTTGCAAATCCGCCACAAAGGAATCAATTTGTAATTCTCTACAAAAAGATTACATTTGTAATCCGCCACAGAAGGACTCCTTTTGCAATCCGCCACACAAGGAATCAAGATGTCAGCCGCCACCAAGGAATCAATGTGTAATCAGCAACAAAAGGAATCAATGTGCAATCCGCAAATGGATTCCTTCACACAAGAAAACAATTTGTAACCCGCCACAAGAAGAATCCATGTGTAATCCACCACAAAAGGAATCCCTTTGTAATCCACCACTCATCCTCCTCATCGCCATCCTCCCGTGGACTCAAAATAGGGTTCTGTTGGGCGGAGATACTTTTCTGACGTTTCTAATGCAATCAAACGGACATGAGGCAAGGTTAATATCGCGAGTTGTTTTCAGATGCGACGGCTAGCATGAGCACACGCGTGCAAGCTGTGAGCGAGCAGTGACGCCTACATCGCAGATTCCCCCGTCTCCCCCTCCTCGCCATCATCCCCCATCCTCCTCCCTCCTCCGCCTCTTCTCCTCCTCCCTCCTCCTCATCCTCCTCATCCTCCTCGTTGCCGTCGCCGTGGCCCTCGTCCTCCTTGTCCCCCCCCCTTCTCCAACTCCTCGTCGTTCGCTTGATTTTCCTCGGCCTCACTTCCGCATTTCACCCCGCCCTCGCCTCCTCCCTCCTCTCTCATCCTTCACCCCAAGTTCCCCCTTCCCCGCCGCCACCCCAGCTCCCTCCTCCCCCTGCCCTCTTCTGGCATCACTGATCCCTCCTCGCCTCCTCCCTTCCCCCCCCCCCCCCTCCCCGCAAGACCTTCCCTCATAATCCTGGTTCCCCTCCTCCGCTTGCATCCTGCCACCTCCCTCCTGCACCCCGTCTCTCCATTCTCCCCCATCCGGTCCCTTCACGTGGGTTTTACCATATAGATACACATATGTTTTTTATGTTATGTGTATATATAGATGTATATCCTTCACGCGTAATTGCACGCATACGCATACTTCTTGCAAGTCCAGGCACCCATACAAACGCACGTACACAGACGCATGTGCACGCAAGGGAGGAAAAAGGGTGAGAGGGAGGGAAGGGGGGACGGGATGGGGGATGATAATAATGCGTGTGAAGGGCGTTCGTGAGGCAGGAATGGGTGGGCGGAGGGAGGGATATGGTGCCCTCCCACTACCATGTTTCTCCGTTTCTACATTGACCACCCGCCCCCCCTCAACTTCCCCCCGCTCTCCCGCGCCCTCTCCCTCCGTGCCGCCACCGCGCTCCAATAGGGAGGGAAGGGGGGAGGAACGGTGAGAGGGAAGAGAGATAGAAATGGTAACGGTTGCGTTGCAGAGGGAAGGAGGTGCGGGGGGGGGATGACAGCCGCTGAAACCACCTCCGCCGCCTGCCCCCCTCTCTCTCTCTCTCTCTCTCTCTCTCTCCTACCACTGCCACCCTCGATGTTTGGAGGAATGAACGGTTACGCGTAGTAGAAGGATGCGAGGCAGGGGGGGGGAGGAAGTTGCGGCGATGCTGTAGGGGACCAGTGAGGGAGGCACGGGAGGACGAAGGAGAGAAAACGAGAGAGAGAGAGAGAGATGGAGAGAAGGAGAGAAGGAGAGAGAGAAGGAGAGAGAGAGAACGATAGAGCTGCTGGTAGTCGTGTTACTGGGGGCATGGTTCCCTCATGTCCCCCCTGTGCCTCCCTCGCGGATGCCATCCCAATTCCCTTCATCCGCCTTCTCCCCCTCCCCCCTTCGCACCGCCGCCCTTCCCCCCATCCTCTCTCCCTCCTAGTCGCTATCCCTCCCTTATTCAAGGCTCGCGGGAGCGCGAGAGACGGCGAGAGGGGTGGGGCAGGGGGCGGGGAACGATGGGGGGAGCGGATGGGGACATTGAGATGTGGTCGCGGTGGGGGGCGGCCGATCTGGACGAAGGGAGGTGAGGGGGAATTGGGATGGGGGAGGAGAAGGCGAGGTGGTGGTGGCGAGAGAACCTCAAGGCCTTCCCTCCTTGCTCACGCCACCACCGGCCCCTCCCTCAAGGTCGTTGGTGGTGGAGGGATGTCGGGATGGGGGGCGGGAAGGGAACAACGAAATATGGGAAATGGAAGTAGGAGAGGAGGTGGCGGCGGTGTTGGTGGCGGATCTGCCACAAAAGGAATCAATGTGTAAATCCGCCACGAAAGGAATCATTTTGTAAATCCGCCTCCAAAGGATTCAATTTGCGAATCCGCAACAGCGGGAGAGAGAGAGAGAGAGAGAGAGACAGAAAAAAAGAGGGGGTAATGAGAAAGAGAGAGAGAGGGGGGGAGAAAGAGGTAGAGAGAGAGAGAGGGAGAGAGAGAGAGAGAGAGAGATAGAGAAAGTGTGAGAGAGAGAGAGCGAGAGAGAGAGAGTGGGAGAGAAAGAAGTGGCAGAAAGAGAGAGAGAGTCGTCATTAGAAATGGCCAAGAGAGTGGCCCACGGGAGACCCACGGCTTGTTGTTATTGTAAATGCCGGAGTCGTAGCAAAACATAGAAGTAGTAGTAGTCGTTGTTGTCGTCGTCGTAGTCGTAGTCGTAGTCGTCGTCCTCGTCAAAATCGTAGTCGTAATCGTAGTGGTAGCGGTAGTAGTAGTAGTCAGCATGCTCATAATCGTAATGGTAATAGTAGCAGTAGGAATAGTAGTACCACAAGTAATCATAGTACTAAAGGTAGTGGTAAGTGGTAGTAGTAGCAGTAGTAACAGTAGTAATAGTAGTAGTAGTAGTAGTAGTAGTAGTAATAGTAGTAGTAGTAGTAGTAGTCGTCGTCGTAGTAGTAGTAGTCGTAGTAGTCGTAGTAGTAGTAGTAATAGTAGTAGTAGTAGTAGTAGTAATAGTAGTAGTAGTAGTAGTCGTAGTAGTAGTAGTAGTAGTAGTAGTAGTAGTAGTAGTAGTAGTAGAGTAGTAGTAGTAGTAGTAGTAGTAGTAGTAGTAGTAGTAGTAGTAGTAGTAGTAGTAGTAGTAGTCGTGGTAGTAGTAGTAGTAGTAGTAGTAGTAGTAGTAGTAGTCGTGGTAGTAGTAGTAGTAGTAGTAGTAGTAGTAGTAGTAGTAGTAGTAGTAGTAGTAGTAGTAGTAGTAGTAGTGGGAATGGGAGTGAAAGGAAAGGCATAGGTGGGAGGAGGAGGAGGAGGAATCCCACTCAGGATGTGGGAATTCGCCGGCCCAACGGGCCAGAGGCGTGCTAAGATCTCCGGTAACTGGTTAACAATTCTCTAGTTCGCGCGCGCGGGGCGGCCCCTGGGGGTCCACGGACGAAAAGTACCCCGGCAAGGTCCTGAGAGAGACCCCGGAGGAGTCCCCCAGAGCGCTCCAGGAGCGCTCCATGAGCGCACCAACAGGGCTCCGAGACGTCCCCGAGAGCCCCAAGAAAGGCCAAGAGGCCCCCAAGAGGCCCCCAAGATGGTACACGAGGGGTCCGACATGCCACAAGATCGCTCCAAGACGCCCAAGATAGCCCCCAGACGCCCCAAGAGGCCTCCAAGAGCACTCCCAAGAGGGCCCCCGGAGGCAACATTCATTGTTTTTCCTAGGTTTTTGAGAGATTTTGGAGCTTCCACCTTTTCGGTTCCCGACGCCCCAAGACGGCCCCAGAGGCCCCCAAGATCGCCCCAAGAGGGCCCAAGAGGCCCCCAAGAGGGCCCCAAGATGGCCCAAGAGGGCTCGAAGACGGCCCAAGAAGCCTCCAAGACGGTCCAAGAGGGCCCCAAGAACACTCCCAGAGGGGCGTATGGGCCGGCGGAATGAGCGAAGCGATTAAATAAAACTGCTCAACCATAAACGTTCGGGACTCCGGAAGTGTATGTGCATGCAGCTTGTTTTCCATATATCCCGAAATGCCTTTCAATACACGTGTCTGCATCCTCCACCGCTAGCATCTCAACTTCCTGAATCGGGCGCACGCTGGCACGGACTACGGACCCGTGGATCCGGCGTGCGAGCGCCAGCTCCCTGGATCGGGGAGGGTACCCGCCGAAACATGCAGCCTATGCCGCGCCCGATGTGGCGCCAGAGCGTGACGATTCTGCACGGAAGCGGGACCAGCCGCTCATCCACGCGCCTCGACCCATGTCTGCGCTTCCTCCGTGGAGGGAGTGCACTTTACCAGCCTCGAACGTATCCCTATCCCTAAGATTGACACGCCAAACGGCGATGACAATCTTAGGGATTCGCCCTCAAAAAATAAGGGAATCCCTAAGATTGGCATCGTGATGAGGAGGTGCCCAGCATAGGGATAGGGATATGTTCCAGGCTGGTAAACACTGGAGACCTCCCAAATGGGTTCGAGCACATGGTGTCCGGAGGATCGCGCCACATCGCCGGCGCATCGCCGATGCATCGGCGACGCCGGGATGGAGAAAATGGGGCTCCTCATCGGGCCGCATCGCCGATGCATCAGCGCTTCGGTGTCATCCCCCGACCCCACCTGCGCGGACCCCATCTTCAGGATGCACGGAGCGTCGCTGCGCCCCTCCGAGGCGATGGCTGCGGGGCGGGACAAGCCCAACAAACGAAAATCTGCCAAGAGGGGGGGAATGAAGGCCAACTTGCTCAAAATCTGTCCCCAGACCATCCCGGGTCGAAACTGACAAATTTTTCGACGCTCGTCCAGCCGTGGCGAGGAGGGGGCCCCCGTTTCCCTCTTCTTTGCTGGCCAGAACCAGCGCTGAGCCACCTCGGCCCCCCAGCTGGCTCCAACGTGGAATGTTGCTGTGCCCCCCGAGGCGACGGCAGAGGGGCTTGGCGGCGCGCACAAGGGGGTGGAGGGAGGGGGGAGGGCTTCTTAGAAGGAGGCTGCGTCTTAGAAGGGGCTGGCCTTACATCTATAGATAGGCCCGCGCCTTCTAAGAAGGAGGGGTGCTTCTAAGAAGCCCTCCCCCCTCCCCCAACCCCCTCTGCGCGTGGCGGAAGGGCGCGGAGCACGTCAGGGTCTTGTACACCTCCTCCTCCGCCATGTACTTGGCGAGCAAGCGAGGGTCGACCTGTTCGAGCGGCGCCCTCCCCAAATCATCCGTTACCAGAAATTGTTGGTAGCGCTCAGGGCAAGCCCGTCGAGACCGAAATTCGGCCTCCAGTCGCGAATTCCGGAAACGAGCAAGCCTCCGACGGCCACGAAACCCTCGCTTCGACCCTGACGCGCCGTCTCTTCGTTACCAAAATTCGACCACCTCTGGTCGCGACCGAAATGGGGCGCGCCCAGCATCGGTTACGTACTGCGAAGTTCGGGTCGCGGGTGAACTGGTCTCTCGCCTCTGGCGTCTCAAAAACAACGTGGCTCACCTTAAATATGCCCAGGGCGTTTTTTTTAGCGTTTTCAGTTCGGCGTCTTGGAGAGCATTTTTTCTGGCGTGCTAAGGTCTCGACAAGAAAAAAACTCCAGAACAGCGATGCGATGTGTTGGCGTTTTCGGACATTGTTTTCACGCTTTCAGCCCGAAAAACGTTTTCTTGTGTTGTCTATTTTTGTGTGGTTCTTATATACAATAATAATAATGATAATAATAACAAAAGAAAAAAGCCATGTGAAGTCAACTCGTTCTTCGCTACTCGACCTTCCTCCAGCAGCAGGAATATGCTGATACTGCGCTGCGCATGTCACTCAGCCCTGCTTACCCGTAGGCCCTTAGGTCGGGCATGCCCCCCTACAGGCGGGTTGGGACGAAACAGAAATACAATACCAAAAAATCGAGGAACTATAACCCAATAATCGTCCCCGCACGATTTGTTTCCTATTTTTGAGTGCTCCTCCTGTAGAGGGACACGCCCGACTTGGGCGTACCCCACTGCCCTCTATGCCCGCCCTTTACGTCGATGATCGTACACCCATTTGGGGGGGGATCGTCCTTGCCTGCCGCGTGCAGTTAGCGCGGCCCTGAAACTTGATGAAGGAACAAGGAGGGCGAGGACAGGAGGAACAAACGAGAGGGGAGGGTTAATTAGGTCGGGCATGTCCCCCTACAGGGGAACTTTCGACGACAAATCAAAAATATCCAAAAGACATTCAAAAACAATCAAAAATAACAAACAAATCGTCCCCATCTATTTTTTTTACTATTTTGGAATATTCCTCCTGTAGAGGAACAGGCCCGACTTCAGGGGAGAGGGGGCAAGAGGAGGGAAGCAGGGTTGAGGGCGAATCAGGAATAATAAGACTTTCGCCGGAGGGAGAGGCCAGAGGAACATTAACTCTGCAGGCGGTCCCTGACGGGCGGGCCTGCCCCAACTCCATCGCTAACATGGGCACCCTGGTGGTAATGTTGTCGCATCTGCGCCTGTAGGGAAACAAGCAATAACACAAACAAAAAAATCGGAGATCCGCGCGCATTGCTCGGATCGGCGCTGGAACATCCTCCCTGGCGCGCGGAGCGCGCCAGGGCGGCGCCGGAGGCGCCGCCGAGGGGACCCAGCGCCGATCCGAGAAATCCGCGCGGACCTCCGAATGGTTATGTTTATGTCCTTGTTTGTTCCCCTAGTCTTCATACCGCCCGCGCCTGGGTCGACGCCACGTCGTCACCACACTAGCCTATACTGGGAACCTTCGGCGTCTTGAGCGCCCACGCAGGGGCGAATCGCAGCCGCGCTGGGGAAGAGACGCGAGCGCTTAGCAAGCCGGCGCTGCATTTAGGTCGGGCATGTCTGACTACAGTCGGATATTGAACGAAAAATGAAACAATATTCCAAACATATACCGCAATATTTCAAAACATGTCGAAACATTGTCCCCCGACGATTTCTTGACAATTATTGATTTCTCCTCCTGTAGAGTAACACCGTGGCTGCCTAGAGTCGGAAAGACGTAGTAAGACCCAAGCTTGGGGGACTCGAGCTGAACTAACAAGGCCGTTAGAACAATGACGGGGCCTAATCTGAAAGTTGGCGCGATCTCCCGCTGCAAACATCTCACGAGAACGGGACCGTCAAAACGCAGGCCAAGACCGTCGAAGAGGCGGCGGCAAACCTGAGATCTGGCAAACCCGAGTCTCTTACCTTCCCCTGAGGAAAAAATCTGGACCACTTGCTCTCCTTGCTAGGTACCGGCAATTCGTCCTGGCTCGTACTCTGGCGGTCCCGAGGAACACACAAAGGCTCCAGGAGGCCCGAACACCTCCTGTCGTACAATCAACCCGTCTAACCATGACGCACGAGAAGGATGCAAGGGCCTTGACAGGCCACATCGACACTTTGCGAGCGGGGCGCGGCAAGCGAAGCCGGCTAATGATGGGCCGCAGGGGAAGGATACAAGCGTTACCTTGAGAAGTCGCTGACTCTTAGTATGCAGGTTGGCTCCATGTTTTGTTTCTGCTCACGGCTCGAGGATGCTGAGTTTAGGCGACGCGCAGAAGGGGTGAGGGGGTAAAGCTTCTTACGAGGAGGCTGCTTCTCAGCAGGCGCGGGCCTCACAACTACAGACAAGGCCCGCGCCTTCCAAGAAGTTGGGGTGCTTCCAAGAACCCTTCCCCCCTCCCCCTTAACCCTCCTCCTGGCCATCGCTCGGACGTCCATTCCCTGTGTTTTTTTCGATTCCGTGCGTGGCTTTCTCGCCAAATGATAAAGGATGCTCCTCGATGGTCCTCGCCGAAGGAAAGATGCACACGTCCGAGCGATGGCAAGCCTCTGTGCGTGGCCGACATAAGTTTTCGCGCCAGAAACATCGGCCTTCAGCGGCCGATCAGGACGAGCTGGTCAGACCCCCGCGGGCGCCCTCGAGAAAGCGCAGCTGCCCGAGGGCAGCCGGAGGCGAGAGGGCCTCCCAGAACCTACGGAGATCCCTGAGACCCGACGCAGCGACCAGAATCACAGCATCGCGGAAACTCGCTGCAGTCAGCCCGTAGAATTCGGGCTCACGATCAGGCCGCAAGGGCCCTGGAAGGCCACGTCGACACTTTGCGGGGCGGGGCGCGGCCAGCGAACGAGGCCAGGGATGCAAGGGTGATCCTGGAGACTTGCTCATCCCTACTATGCGGGTTGACCGTGCTGCAGACCTGGACCCCGTCCTTCTGCGGCACTGTTCCCGTCGAATCCGTCTGTCATCGCACCCCAGGCGGCATCGCTTGGCGTGACGCACCAATGGTACGCCCGGATTTCAGGGACGTCCGAACACACCCGAGAAAATGCTTCCACAGCGCGAGGACGTCCGTGGGCCGAGGGGAGGGGGGGCCCTGGTGGCCTTCTCGCCGTTCGGGTGCACGTCCCTGGCGGCGTCGTCGTGGCCACGCCAGCTGAAGCGGAACATGAACGTGCCCGTCTGCCTCGAGGAGCCGCGGTGGGGCGGGGAGAGCGCCGGGACGGGGCGGACCCACTGCACTGCCAGCCGCACCGGTAAAACAGGGCTAGGATCGGGATAAATCGCTCCAGAGCGTTCGGGAGCGCTCTCAGAGCGTTCCGGAACGCTCTGGAGCGGCCGCGGCGCCCAATACATCCTCCAAGCCCGCCGATTCTCAGAGATTTCGAATTATCCCGATCCGATTTTGTCCCGATCTTCGCGTCGTTTGACCGTGGTGGGGCGGGGAGGGCGCCGGGACGGGGCGAGCCCACTGCCGGCCGCACAGGGGGTCACGAAAGGGAGCGGGAAGAGAGGAGATTGCCGCGGCGGGCCGCCCTCGGAGGCCGGCTGCCCGCCTGATGGGCGCCCTCCTCGCGGGCAGCCGCGGCCCTCCAGGGGCCCTCGTGGCCAGACGAGGACACACCCGCGGAAGTGTGACCTTCGTCTGGCAGTGATGCTGTGCGAGGGGGAACAAGAAAAATCGCGGCCAGGGAGGAGGCCGCATCGGAATACAGCCGGGCTGGATTGGAGAGGGCACGCGAACCACAGGACACCAGGGTACCCTTGACCTGGCAGGGTCGACCTACCAATCCGGGCCGACTGTACGCCAGAAACGTTCTCGTGGCCCTCCTTGAAGGGAACGGCGCGCCACTCACGGAGGGAGCACCGCGTGTCCTCCGTGGCGGTCGGCCGGGGCCGGGGGGAGATCCTCGACCCCGAGGGGGAGGGCAGTACAACGTGCGGGCGCGGTCGCAAGAGATCCTGGCAAGAAGCCCAACTGGGAGACGCACGTGGATGCACTGGGGTATGCGGGCGTTCGCCCAAAACCTGCGTTTCGTTGGCGGCGAAGGCGGACCGACGCATAGTGCACATGTTTTGTCGAAGGCCTCAAGCTCGTAAGCCTACCTCCAAAAATTTCCACTAGACTGTTCGCGATGGTGCTTGCGAACGTAGCTTCATGGTCATGTCCCTGTTCCCGACCAACCCTGAAATCTGCGCAGAGGTGCAACGCATGGAACCCGAGGCACCCTGAACGCAGTGCAGTTCTCCAGCGCCCACAGGAACTCGCCGCGCAACGCGTGGAGGCGAAGCAGCCCAGGGTACCATGATGTAGATCTGCCCCTGGATTATCCTCCTCTTCCTCCTCCTCCTCCTCCTCCGCCTCCGCCTCCGCCTCCGCCTTCGCCTCCGCCTCCTCCTCCTCCTCCTTCTCCTCCTCCTTTTCCTCCTCCTCCTCCTCCTCCTCCTCGTTCCGGGAACCATCCTGGGCACCATACCAGGCCAGAAGCCGTGCACCTGCAAGGCACGCGGGCAAGAACAGAGTGATGATTACTATTGGACAAATGCCAGCCGCAAGAGAGGCCAAAGAGAGCCCCACGACGGCCAAAAGAGCGCCCAAGAGTGTCCCAAGAGCGCTCCAAGAGGGGCCCTTCCTCCGTGCGTTGCCCACTTCCCTGATCGTGGCAACTCCTCGGTGTATCGTCGCTGGATGGGCTGGTGGGGGCACGCGAAGCGTCAAGAATTGGCAGCTTTTGCCTTCTGAGGAAGACGGGGCTCCACCATGCAAGCCATGGAGGGGAAGGGAGAAGACGGCAAAACAGCGAACCAAGACGGAATGAGAAACCGAAGGAGGAGGAAAAACTTGCCTTACAGAGTCCAGGGTTCGCTAAGGACTGGTTCCCTTTCGAAACAGTCGAAACCCTCCGAAACCCTCCGGGACAGGTTCCGGGTGGCTTTTCGGGAGGTTCTGGGAGGGTTTTGCAATGGTTTTCGTCGTTTTGGGAGGGACATCGATCCTTAGCGAATGAAATCCCACCAGCCCTCTGGGCGTAAGTGGTTTAGGGCGATGGTATCACGATCAGGCCTTCTGAGCCTTCTGAGAAGGCCCGCCCCCTCTGCTTCCTCGGGGGCGCGCAAGCCTGGATTAGCGATCCATGGATTTGGCGCGCGGTCGCCACATCCATTGATCGGGGGCGGTGCCCTCCCCAAAATGCGGCCGGTGCGGCCTCGCTCGGCGGCAGAAATCCGCCATTTCCCATGGAAACGGGACCCGTCGCTAATCCACGCCCCCTTGATCCATGTTTGCGATCGCCTGACAGTTGGGGATGTACGGTTTCCCCCCTGGGCCGTAGGCGACCCGAGGAGGAGGAGGAGGAGGAGGAGGAGGAGGAGGAGGAGGAGGAGGAGGAGGAGGAGGGGGAGGGGAGGAGGGGGAGGAGGGGGGAGAGATGGAGGAGGAGGAGGAGGAGGAGGAGGAGGAGGAGGAGGAAGGAGGAGAGGAGGAGGAGGAGAGGAGGAGGAGGAGGAGGAGGAGGAGGAGGAGGAGGAGGGAGGAGGAGGGAGGAGGAGGAGGAGGGAGGAGGACGAGGAGGGGTCGCCTAAGCCCTTCGGCGAAACCCTCCAGCCTGCCTTCCTCCCTCCTTGGCGCGCCCGCCGAGCCTCGACCCCCCCCTGCTCCTGGACCTCTGGCGCGGCGACCCTGCCAGGCCGCGTGCGCCCCCTCTGCCGAGAGGTCCGGGCCCTCACGAAGCCTCACGAGCTCCCAAGAGGCCCCCAAGGGGCCCCAAGAGGCGTCCACGACGCCCCAAAGAGGCCCCAAAGAGGCCCCCGAGAGGCCCCCAAGAGGCCCCCAAGAGGCCCCCAAGAGGCCCCCTAGAGGCCCCAAGAGGCCCCCAAGAGGGCCCCAGAGAGGCCCCAAGAGGCGTCCACGACGCCCCAAGAGGCCCCCAAGAGGCCCCCTAGAGGCCCCCTTAGAGGCCCCACAAGGCCGCCCCCCCCACCCCCCTTACCCAGGGACCGATGGCTCGTCCTGAGCCATTTTCTGGCCTCCCCGGGGGCCCAGTGAAGGCTCCGGAATGCAGCTCTGCACAAACAGCATATATCCCGCACGGCTGGACCTACAACCTGCCTCCGCCGGCCAAACTGAAGAGCATTCCAGGGCACCCTCCCCCAAGATGCACAGGAGCATCCAACAGACGCGGAAGAACATCAAGTTACCCTCCTCGAACCGACCTAGGTCTCGCACCTCGACCCGACCGTAACTCCTGTAGTGATTCCTTCGCGAGGCGAAGGCGTCAGGGGATGTTGCTCTTCTTGTCCCCGCCTGCCCCCCTTGCCCTTGCCGCGGCCGCCTGAGCTTCGCGAACGCCAGCTGGCACTCCTGGCGGCACTCCCCTTGTCCAGTGCAGGAGGCGCGCCCACCGCCTCCCAGCACGTGTGCGTGCACGCATGCATGCACGCAGCACGCGCGTGTGGATGTGAGGCTTGAGCCTTCGTGTGCGTGCGGGTTCGAGCGCGGGTGTGCGTGCGAGTGTGGCTGCGAGTGGGGAAGTGCGGAAGCGCGCGTGGGCGTGAGTGGGCGTGCAGGCGCGAGCGCGATAGTCTAAGGGATTGCGTTAGCGCGAGCGTCGGCGCGAGTGGCGCAACGCAAGAGCGCGAGTGGAGAGCGCGAGTACGAATGCGAGGGTGGGAGCGCGCGAGCGTGAGTGTGCGCGAGCTGTGGGGCATGAACGCGAGAAGCGGCGTGATGGTGCGTGCGAGTTGTGAGTGGGATTGTGTGCTTGACTGTGCGTGTGGGTGCGGGTAGCACGAGTGCTGAGACGAGCGCGAGACCCAGCCTTGGCCAGCCCTCATCCCCTCCTCAGGAGCGGCGCGGGGGGAACAGGGGAAGCAGGAGAGGGGAAGGGGCACAAGCGGAGAGGAGCAGTAACGGGGAGGAGGAGCATCTAGGACAGGAGAGACGCGAGGGCCGCGGCGGGAAGAGCGGCGAGGACGGGATGGAAAACACAACGGGCTACAAGCGTTAAGAGATCTTGCCGTGAAAAGTGCACGGGCGCAATGTTTGAACCCTGCGGATTGGCCCCAGAATTGAAACGGGTACCCAGGGGACGTCGGGGAAGAAGACACGGCAACAGGGTACCTGATAGCAGGCCTATACATCTTTTGGCGTGCCTACTCTAGCTGCCATGTTGGAAATGTGTCCTGAAACAAAAAACGGGTCCAGGACCAGGGGGCTTCTCCCAAGAACAACTGCTCATCCTGCCCACAGTGCAGATCTCGCCTTAGCGCCGCGCACAGTCGTCTTAAATGTTGGGAGCAACTCAATTATGGAGAACCACTGATATTCGAAAACTAGCTCTGGTCTTTGCGTCGCACGCATTCATTGCAAACATTCGCAAGAGTTGCACGGATTGAGGGCGGGTCACTTTCAAAATGAAACTATCGCCATAGCGCCGCGCACATTCGTTGTAACATGTCGCGAGAGGAGTTTCACGGAATGAGGCCTTGCCGATGCTAACATGTCACTCTCGCCTTCGCGCACCGCACATGCGTTGTAAAAGCTTGCAAACAACAGATGGATGGCGGCTCCTTTTTCAACAAGTCGCTCTCGCTTGAGCGCCGCGCCGCGCACATTCGTGTTGCTTGAAGACCCAGGAACAATGTTCTGGCACGTCTTAGGATTGCCAGGACGCAACAGTCGCGTTGATTCGCGGTGCCGACGCCCCAGGGATGGTGTTCTAGCGCGATTGACGGCTGTCAGGACACAGCATTCAACTTGATCCGCGGCGTGGAAGTCCCAGGAACTGCGGTCTGGCAAGACTGGAGCTTCTCACACGGTGGTCTTCTAATGGGCCGCTTCCTGCAACGGACACGAATTCTTGTAGATACTATGAAGGGGGAGCTTAGAGGGAAGGTTGATTGCAACGTCGTGGATGCGTCTTCGGATTGTACTGGTCCTCCACCTCCTCCGCTTATTCCTCCTCCTCCTCCTCCTCCTCCTCCTCCTCCTCCTCCCCTCGGGTGGCCAAAACATACTGATACCGATACTCTCTGGACCTCTCCTGGGCTGCGTTCTGACCAACATTTCGAGGCGAATCCAGCGGTGGTGACGACGGCCTCCCAAGATGCCCCAACATGCGAACACGAGGTAAGGGCAACTGCATCGGCACCTCTTCCTCCCTCGATCCACCTCGTCACTGCCACCTGCCACAACCGCAGCCGCGGCGGGGTCTTTGACCGTGAGCGCCCAGATGCCCAGCATCTTGCTGCGGACGTGGAGGCCGCGGTACTGCCCCGCGGCGCGGCGGGGACGAGGGGGGGGGAGGGAAGGAGGGGGGAGGGGGGGAAGGAGGAGGGAGGGGGGGGAGGGGGGAGGAAAGAGGGAGGGAGGGAGGGAGGGAGGAGGGAGAGGGAGGGAGGAGGGAGGAGGGGAGGAGGAGGGAGGAGGGAGGAGGGGGGAGGGAGACGAGGGAGGGAGGAGGAGGGAGGAGTGAGGAGACGACAACGACGACGACGACGACGACGACGACGACGACGCGGCGGGGACGGAGCGAGGCGGTGCCGCGGTCCCCCTGCGTGGCGCTCCTCGGAGCCCCGCACGGGGTGCGGGGATCGAGGGAAACCGCCAGGATTGAAGCAGACATCTCGTCGAGGAGTCCCGAAACGGTGCGGCGACGGACCGTGCGGTCCGCCGCCGCACGGCCTTGGGACCTCGGAGGCCCCAATCGCCCGAGACGTCCTCGGAGAACGACCCGAGCCCCAAACCCGTGCGGTGACCCCGAATCCCCACCAACTCACCGCACGGTGTGGTCACCGCCCCGTTTGGGGACCCCCGAATCGTCGAGGAGCTGTTATCCGCCCGGAACGGATCCCTTATCCTTATGTATGGCATCACTTTACGCCGTTGCCGACCTTCAGGATTCCTCTGAGGCCACACCCCCAAGAATGTCATCGCCTTGGGCGTGCCGATCCTGGGGATAGGGTTGTGATGTTCCGTTCCTGCCTACTGTAGCCGTGACCACCAGGAAGAATGCCGAGCACAACAAAAATACCGAACCTCGATGGTTTTCATGCGTCGGGCCCTGGGAGACACTCGTCCGACGCTGTTTCGACACTCTTTCGACACTTTTCCGGGTGCTCTACACTATTTCTGGGATGTGGTCTTTAAATACGATGGGAGAAACATAACTCGGGGGGGAGAATCTCGAGCGGAAATCGGCGTCGTCACACCGCAGATAGGTTTAGGTCGGGCATGTCCCCCTACAGGGAGATTTTGGACGAAACATAAAAAATGATATGCTCCCAAATGGTCAAAAATAGTAAGAAATCAAGAATCATCGTGGACCATCCCTGGGCACATACGATAAGGAATCTGGCTCCAGGAAATATTGGTGCATATTCACTGCCGATGTTCCACAGCCTGAAGAGTCCCCATGCAACCGTGCGGCCCTAGGGCCATCAGAAGGTAAGGACTCTCCTTGGAGCACCCGCTGGCAGGCTGGTATTAGTCCTGGAGCCATCAGAAGGTAAGGACTCTCCGTGAGGCACCCGCTGGCAGGCTGGTTCTCTTACTTGGCGTGCCCGCTGTACTGAGTTGGTCCCTCTGCTTTCCGGTCCAGGCACGTCCTCCTCGACCAAATGGCTCTTGGGAGCACGAGGTATCAAAAACGGCCTCCTCCTCCTCCTCCTCCTCCTCCTCCTCCTCCTCCTCCTCCTCCTCCTCCTCCTCCTCCTCCTCCTCCCCCCCCCTTGCTCCCCTCCGCTTGCTCCTCCTCCTCCCCCCCCCTTGCTCCCCTCCGCTTGCTCCTCCTCTACCTCCTCCTCCTCCTCCTCCTCCTCCAACTCCTGCTCCTCCTCACCCTCGTTTTCATCTTCGTCGTCTTCAGGGTCGGCGGCACCGGCCGTAAGGCCTTCGCAAAATATACAAATAACGGGATTCCTAATTTTCCTGTCATTTTCTGGGGGTTCGTCTTCCCCCCCACTTCCCGTATTTTCCATATTTTCTGGGGTATCGATGATGAATTCCCCATATCCTAAGATGGGGTTATTGTTATTACTTGGACGCCTCCTGCTCCTCCTTCTCCTCCGCATACCTAGACTTACTCATACACAGACTTACTCATACACAGACTTCCTCATACTCAGACCTGAACATATTAACTTACTCATACTCAGACCTACTCATACTCAGACCTACTCATACTCAGACTTACTCATGCTGAGACTCACTCATACCCAGACTTACTCATACTCAGACCTTCTCATTGTCAGACTTACTCAACACACAGCGGATTGTGAGGATGTCTCAGGCGGGGCGCTGGTTCCAGCACCCCTAAGGAGAGCCGCCGAAGGGTATTGCACGGTGGGGATCTCTCAAGCGGTTTGCCTGGTTTCTGTCCCAACGTCCTTCGCTTTCGGAGCAGATTTGGAGGATGTTTCGAGCGAGACGCTCATTTTCACCAGCCGCCGAGGGGTGTTGCACGGTCCCGTTCGCGGCCGTTTTGTGGGGATGTCTCAAGCGGTTTGGCCCTTTCTGTCCCACCATCCTTCGCTTTCGGAGTAGAGCGAGGCGCTCATTTTCACTCCCCTAAGGGGAGCCGCCGAGGAGTGTGTGCACGGTCCCGTTCGCGGCCGTTTTGTGGGGATGTCTCAAGCGGTTTGCCTGTTTTCTGTCCCACAATCCTTCGCTTTCGGAGCAGATTTGGAGGATGTCTCGAGCCAGGCGCTTAACTTCACCCCCCTAAAGGGAGCCGCCGAGGAGTGTGTGCACGGTCCCGTTCGCGGCCGTTTTGTGGGGATGTCTCAAGCGGTTTGCCTGTTTTCTGTCCCAACATCCTTCGCTGTCGGAGCAGATTTGGAGGATGTCTCGAGCGAGGCACTCATTTCCCCCCCCAGGGGGGCCAATTTCGAGGATGTCTCGATCGGTTTGCCTGTTTTGGTGGCCAGGCTCGTGGGCGCAGATTCTTCTCAGGATGCCACAGCAGGCTCCAACAGGCTCCAGGAGGCCCCAGGAGACCACATGAGGTCCCAGGAGGCATCAGGAGGCCACAGAAAGACTCAAGAGGCAAAAGGATGTCCCAAGAGGCTCCAGGAGGCCCCAGGAAGCTCCAGAAGGCCTCAGGAAGCCACAGGAGGCCCCAGGAGGCCACAGGAAGCGCCAGGAGGCCTCGGAAGGCAACAGGAGGCCCCGAGAGGCCCCAGGAGCAGCAGGCCTCCGAAGGCAACAGGAGTGGCTCCAATCCCATGTGTTTTACGTATGCTCCTATCGATTGGGTCTCACCTGGAGCACGAGTCTTTGATGTTGTACGTATGTTTCTATAGATTGTCCTTCTCCTGTGTACTCTATCCTACATGTTGTACTTATGTTCCTATAGATTGGGCATCTCCTGGGGCACGAGTCCTTGGTGTCTTACGTGTGTTCATATAGATTGCCCTTCTCCTGTGGCTCTAATCCGCAATGTTTTATGTACGTCTGTTGCTATAGATTGGGCCTCTCCTGGGGCACGAACCCTCCCTAGGAGGTCCCAGGAGGCCCCAAGAGGCTCCTGGAGACCCCAGGAAGCCCCAGTAGGTTTCAGGAGGCCCCAGGAGGCCCCAGGCTCATGCGCAGAGACGCGCTCGCACTACTGAGGCTCATTCACACTCCAATTCATTCGCAGTTAGACTCATGTCTAGACCGCCACAGCTGTCACAACTGAAGCCCGTTTGTGTTCAAAAACTCCCTGCGCCTAGACACTCACGGCGGACAGGACCATGCAAATAGATGCACACATGGGGAGCTCCACGCAGTGAATAATTATCTGTATGTTCTCTCACCTCCTGAGCATCATACGCTGGGCCACAACTGGGGCGAGAGGGTCGGCGGGGGGCGGGAGGCGCCGTGGGGGGGCCCGAGGCAGGAGCGGGCAGGGTGCACCGGCAGCTGCGCTTCAGGGGCGCCAGGGGGAAACACACACACACACACAGACAAGCGCGGATGCCAGGATCCCCCCCACGTGCTCCACAGCTTCTGGATGTCCTGGAGGGTTCGCCAGCGCCTCCCACTCCATTCCCCCCTCGGCGCAGACGGTGGGGGATCGCCGGCGCCTCCCACTCCTTCCACCCCTCTTCCGCAAGGCATCCGCGTACTTGGTAGTGGCAACAATTGGTTTTCAAAATGTCTGGTCTTTAGAAGCTCTGCGTGGCGACGCCCCCGTCGCCACGCGTGCCCTCTGCGTGCCTGCGGGGCGCCGCCACGTAGAAGTACTGGAGACCGAGCATTTGGGGCGTCGCTACGCACGCCCTCTGCGTGGCTGCGACCATTTGTTAAAACCCCACACCCAATTAAATTCGCTAACAAAGTGCCATCGTCAACATGAACTTCCAAGGTCTGCGCGGATTTCTCGGGTCGGCGCTGGACCGCTCTCCCCGGAGCGCGGAGAGGGCGGCGCAGAAGGCGACACGCCACAGTCCGGCGCCGATCCCGGAGATCCGCGCGCGAACCTCCGGAAGGTCATAGTTGTGCAAACTCCTCCTCCTCCTCCTCCTCGCTCCTCCTCCGCCTCCTCCTCCCTCCTCCTCCCTCCTCCTCCTCCTCCTCCTCCTCCTCCTCCTCCTCCTGTTCCTCCTCCTCCTCCTCCTCCAGCTTCTTAGCAGCCAAGGCTTCCACACGCCATGGCCTGGCCATCGCTCGGACGTCCATGTCCTGAGTTTTTTATCGGCTTCGTGCGTGGTTTTTTCGCCAGGTGGTCAGGGATGCTCCCCGATGGTCCTCGCCGAGGGAAAAATGCACACGTCCGAGCGATGCCGAGCGGCAGAGGAGCAGCGATGGTGGGTCCCCCGTCTGCAGGTGCTTCTGCTTCACCATGCTTGAGAGGTACTGCGGCGGTCGCGGCGGCTGCCCAGAGTGACAGACCCTGCAGAGAACAGATGCACGTGCTGAACTGTGATGCGTGCGCATGCTTACACACAGATAGACAACAGACAACTTCACTACAGACAGTACTGCCGACCTGGTAAAACTCGAAAAACCCTTGCGGAGCAAGCTAGTTCCAAGAAGTGATAACATCGAGGAACACTCGGGAATCTATGAGGCAAGCGTGCAGTCCAATGCAAGCAATCTATCAATCTCTGAAGCAAGCAGCGAGGTGCAATAGGAACATCAGGAGCAACCAGCAACAGCAGAGCCAAGCCTACACGCCAGGCTGAATCAGTCAAGTCTCCACTCCAGTAACAACACCGATCAAGTCAGACCGAAACGAAGGCTGGATCAACAAGGCTGAACCCAGCCCATGTCCATCGACCACGCTCAACAAGCAAGGTCACACCCAATGAACTGATGCGTTCGATTACCGTTTAGCATGTTGTCGTTCCATTGCTTTTGTTGACCTCTGCGTTTTCGAAAATGAAAGATGTGGGTCGTGGATGTTAGTCGCCCGCCGATGCTATCCCGTGTCCGACACGTGCGGAATACAATCTGCATGTGGTCGATCGAATTGGTAGAGTATGTATGCTGACCTATCGTCGATCCTGGTGTGACCAACATTGAACTCGGCTACATGCCGGCTCATTGAACCGGCCCCCTCCGAAGGTGTGTGCGGTCTGCTGTCATGTGTTATGTGTTGTCATTTGTTGTTTGACCTTTTGTCCCTCCAGTCCTGTTTCCTGCCTCCTGTTTGCTGTTTGCTTGGGGACCCCGCCGCACCACCAAACAGCCAACGCGGGGGGTGAACCTCAAATCCTGGCTGCTCCAGGCCACCACAGGATTCTAATGGTGACGCCACCGTGCGGCCAGAACGGCCCGAGAGGCCTCCAAGCTTGCCCGAAGAGGCTCCGAAGAGAGCATCAGGAGGCCAAGACGGCCCAAGATGGACCCGAGATGTCACACGATGGGCTCAAGACGGCCCAAGATGCTCCCAAGACGGCTGAAGAGGCCTCCAAGAGGCTTCCCAAGAGGGCCCCACGAAGCAACCACCAACGATTTTCCTATAGATGTGGAAGGTTTCTGGCCTTCTCGCCTTGTCGGATTTCCGACGCTCCGAGACGGACCAAGAGGTTCCCACGATCGCCCTAAGACGGCCCAAGAGGCCCCCATGACGGCTTTTTTTGAGCTCAACGCCCGCACAGCCTCTCCTGACAGCAGCGACGGCTGGGAAATCGCTGCTGCGTCCTCCATGCCACTGAGGCAAGGAGGTGAGCCACAAAGGTGGCAGGATAAAATTAAATTAGTCAGAAGAACCCGAGTCAGCATCCAAGTCCCTCCTTCCCTCGCCGCCACACCGAGCGGCTTGGAGACGGCGGAGGGACTGAGAGGAGACGCTGAGCTCTCGGGCCTGACGGGCCTGACGGACCTCCTCCACCGAGGGGGGGGGAGGCTCGACCGAGGAAGCAGGGACCTCCTCCTCCTCCACCAAGCGGTTCCCAGCAGGGGCCTCCACGGCCCTGCAGCACAAGGAAGGCTCCTCAGCCTGAGAACCAAACAGAGCACAGATCTGGTGAGTATTCACCGTCACATCCCGCTTCCTGGGGTTTGGATGCACTCCTCGACAGAGGTGCCTCCAAGAATACTCGGCATTCCTGGAGGGCCGATCATTACAAAACTTCCCAAGGCCGTCCACACGAGCACCTGTGCTGTGGTAGCGGCATTTCACGCAAACAAAAAGATGCGAACCGTCACTGCAGGAGAAGGCCAAAACACGATGACGCAGTGAAACCAGCACACCTTCATCAAGCTTGCACCTGCCCGAGCATATACCAGGATCAGGGACGCCAGACCCCCTGGAACCCAGCACACAAACTCGACAGCGCCACACGCCAGACCAAGGGGCCCAGTCGTGCCCAGGTTTGTCCCCGGAAAACCTGGGTTTGGGGGCAGGCGGAATATAATCGGCGTCAGCTAAGTCTAGACGGGGCCACTCTAAAAGAAGCTTGGCCCCTAGTCGACACACTGCTTTAGCAATGTCAATCTTCTTGCTGAGATCTTCACTCTCATTAATATCCGTCGCATGAAACGGAAGCGCAGCTTTGGCCGCCGCGTCAGCATCATTATTGCATTTGCGACAAAACCTTTCAAACTGGTCGATGCCAGCTTCATCTAAATCTTTGTGAGCAGAAACCTTGACAATATCCTTAATGCACGTGCTTTCTCGAGCATTGGCTTCCATGATTATGCCACTGTACACCCTCTTACCCGAGAGGCGATCGCTAGGAGGCAACTTAGAATGCTTGACCACATTCAAGCAGTCTGAGAACAGGGTGGAAGGGTACTTGGCCATATTACCAGCCATGCCACGCGCTAAATATTCACCAGCCTGCGGGGTCTGAGGGTATTGAGCCCGCACAGGCCCCATAACCTCACCTAAAAGGTCCCCGCTGTCATTGTGCATCGTGATGGCCCACGACGCACGGCTGAGTTCACGAATTATGTGCCGCCTGCAAGACCCGTCGAGAAACAGCGAACCCCAGACAGCACCTTCCTGGGGAGCCTCGAAGCCTTCGGGGCCCTCGAGCAGATCACGATGCCAGCGGAACACCACCTTGCCTTCGAGGCAGGGCCTAGGAAGGGTATCGGCGGGATGGGCGAAAGCCCCGAAGCAAAAAAGGAGGTCCGAGTAGTCCTCAGCCTCAGTGTCAAGGGCAGCAGCAATGATCCAGTCCTTAGCAAGCTCCGCTCTCAGATCGCTCACATGTGGGCATGCCCACAGCCGATGGTGCAGCGAGTCTGCCTCGCCGCAATGGACGCACTTAGAACAAACTCGATATCCACAGGCAATGGCACGATCAGGAGTCCAGATGGCGTTACACGCCAGAGCACGCACCATGCCTTTTTCACTGGGGGTAAACTTGCTAGACGCCAGGGCAGCTCGGGGGACATCCAAGCAGAGGCGGCCTCCAGACGACCATTTGCCACCCAAATCCCTTTCCAGAGCTCTGATCATACCTTCCCGACAAAAAATACACAAAAGGGCGGGGGAGGTCACACCGAGGGGGATGTGGTACCCTCTGCCATCAATAATGGTCATGAAGTTGTCCATATGCCACCCTAACCTGACCAGGCTAAGCCTGAGAGCAGAGACAGGACCCCCAACAAGACCCCAACTGATCCTGCTAAGGCCCCAGACGGCATTCCAAGAATCACTAAGCTCCTTGAGGGCCAGGGAGTGCGGGAAGACCTTAGTCTGAGCAAACCATATTTCTTTTCCCCACCTAAGCACAGGCGCGCAGGCCGCCCTCCAGGTGGGATCTCCAGCTAAAATACAGCAGGCAGTGAGACTCCTGCCCTGAGAAAACGGCCGCACAGTCGAGAAGGCTTGCCTCCGCATCAATAAAAGATCGTGGTCGGAAACACCCACAATGTCGGCCCCGTAGGAGCCGCCCGCAAGAGGGCCCGAGGAAAACACACGCAGAGTTTTTCTCCCAAGGTCACCTGAAAGCCTCTTGAGCCTCTTAGCTCGACGACACATGGTAGCCAGCCTCGACTTGAGCTTGCTAGCCCGACCTGAAGCACGAATGGACTTGCCCGCCGTGTAGTCCACACCTAAGTTGACAGTGACATCCTCGATCCTACCTGCCAGCCTGCCAAGCTGCTTGCCAACCTCTATGGCCACCGCCCTATTAGAGGAGACCGTGCACACTTTGGACAGGGCGAAACTGCAGCCAAGCATGTCGGTCACAGCCGTGTGCAAGGCCTGCGAGCTGGCGACAATAGAGGCAATAACTCGGTGACGAGGGCCCGTCGCAGAAATCCCCGAATCGTCGATGTAAATGTCCAGGTCGCATCTGGGGGACAAGGGAATCGAGTCGAACGCGTCGAGGGCAAAGACCCTGATGAGGGTGGTGGCGAAGCTGCAGCCCGCCACCACCCCTCGTTCGACAAAAAAGGGGCCCATGAGGATGCCACCCAAGGACAGGAAACGGCCACACCGAAAGGCAAAGATGCAGAGGCGAGCAATCGGGGAGGGAAAACCGTGTCGCTGACATTGGGACATCAACTTGGCAAGGTCGATAGTCTCGTAATACTTAAGCATATCATAGAACACACTGCACGAAACCTCGTTCGACGCAGTGCCATGCTCAGCCCGAACAGACTGCCTCCAAACGACGTCGGCAGCACCTCGATGCCCACCAGCAGCCCAGAGGCCCCCATGACGGCCCAAGAGGCCCCCAAGACGGCCCCAAGACGGCCGAGGATGACCCCAAGACGGTCCAAGAAGCGTGGAACCGAAAACTTGACCTTTCCGCTCCGAGAGGGCCTCTGGAGGCTCCCAAGGGGCCCCCAAGAGGCCCCAAGGAGACCCCCAAGAGACCCAAAGTATGCCCCCAAATGGCTCCAAAACGGCTTCCAAGAAGCTCCAACAGTGACCCGCAGACGCTGCTGAGAAGCCTGCCACGCGAAGCACCCACGGCGCTATCTACGCAGCCGCACGCACTAGCAATAGGGGGGCCGGCGGCACAGGGCAAAGCCCTTCACACACACACACATGTACATATTGTACAAGCTTGTGCCGCTGACTCCATCAGCGGTGCTGTTCCCTGTGCGCTGTCCCTGGAGCGGTCAAGATGCCTTGAGATGGTACTCGTGTGGGGGGCAACGATTGTTCGAATGATGTTTCTATTCGTCCGTCGTAGAAGCACCACGATCCACGCGGTCACAATAACCGAGGGCGTTACCGCAACATCGAAGAAACGTGGAATGCGCTTTGCATGCTGGTCTTCACGAGTATAACTCGTCACCCAGTTGCTGGGCTGTCACCACCTGGCTTCTGAGCTATTGTGAAGTCCACGCTCTGGAGAAATAGTGAAAAGCGAGCTTGTGGACGTTTTTTTTACTCGGCGTTTCGACATTGGACGGAACGGGGGGGAGGGGGGGGGTCTGGCTCC